AAAAAATATGCATTGCCTTCCTTAGAATTGTCAAGCTCAATAAAATAGATAGGCAGTTTTTCAGTTCCGTTTTAGTTTTTCTGGTGAATAGTTTGACTTTACGTACAGGAAATTTTCTCACTGACATAATTTGAAAAACATGATTTTCCAAAATAATGTATTTTGAAAGACATGATTTTCCGAAATCGTGCCCGGGATAGGTTACTGGTTATGGCTTTAGTGTTGCATTCATTTTTCATTTGGTACGAATGAAATTTAAGCTTGGACTGTTCTAGGAATTGGGCGAATTGTCGGTAATCATCTACAGACTTGGGGAAAAATAAGATTGAATCTCTTCATGGTTGAGCATCGAATTTGTTAACACAAACAAAGAGCACTTTTGAGAAATATTTCTTTCAGTCAAAACAGTTGGAGGGATTTTATTTACTTTACAGTGTGTAGGAATTAACTTCGTTTGTTTTCAATAGGTTTATTTTCGATTAATGCATCAAATCTTATGCTTTGAGGGATAGCGTTGAGCTCAAGGGTGGTCATCTTGATCGGATTTTTAGGTATTTTCCATTCTTCGTTAAAATCACTTTCTCTATGAGAAATTGCGGATTTCTTTTCTGCACTTCAATTGCTCCTTTGTACAGGGTACCGGTTAGGAAAAGTTTTTTGCAAGTGTTCAGCCGTAATTCCAGAGAATTCGAGTTCATTACTAAGTTTCTGCAATTTCTTATCAGTTTCGTAGGCTAAATTCCCGTTGGAAAAACTAGAGCAATGAGATAGGTTGTTGGCTTCCATGAATTCAGAGTTAAGCGTAAACCAAGGAATGGAAGTCTTTCCGGATTCAGTAATAGTGAACAGCATTAAGAATATGCGGATATGGTTCATTAAATGGGAATATCTCGTAATGGTTTTGAAAGTAAGGAAGATAGACTGAACGATGGCAACGGTAACGATGCAAACGACTTGTAAGCTGTAGCCGACGATAGATACAGCATTTCTCGCTACGTGGATAACCATGAAAATGAGCGAGATTCAAAATGCACAAAGTAGAAATTAAGATATGTTTTTAGATATTGACAATGCTAAAATTATTGTGTACTCTTTTAGCAATATACGTTTCTTTAAATGAATGATATTGTGATAGGTACTGGTAGTTTTACCATGAATACTTTTCATTTGTTATGTTTTTACTGTAAGCAAATCCTTTGAGAATTAAATTATTTGCATAATTTTTCTCTCTCGATTTTCATACAATAAAATTAATGAAAAAGAAGGGGAGTAAATACGCGAGGAAATGTGGCATATTTGTGCTAAACAAACTGATACAAGACACTGACGATATTTCACTAAATGATGCCAACTTTTGTCATTTAAATTGCCATACAGTGAAATCTCTTGGCGTTACCACCTTTCTAAACTATTACTCATGAAAATAACCAGTAGTTTGGAAAACACAAATAAATTCAACAAGTAGACGTCCAATTAAATGGCTATTGGTTTAGATCTCCCTGATAATCATTTCCACAAAAGGCCCAAACCATGTGGAAACACATAATTTAAAACCGTTTCATTGTATTTCACTAATGGAGATATTTGGAGCGATTTGCTTGCTCAGATCGTTTGCTTGCTCATGAAACGCTCGCAATATGCATAAACTTAATTACACTGGGAAAGAAACTAGTCATTCATTAAGAAACAATCACCTTAAATTTTTAATGCAGCTCTAAGAATTTAGAAACTAGTCTTAAACGCATATTTTCAGAAAATGATTATTTAGAAATTCATTCCATTTCTAAAGTATAAAATAAAATTCCAGTTCTTATTTTGCACAGCATAAAACTTTGTGTACATGATATTTGGTTACATTGTAGTGTCCAGGTGGTCTGTATACTAGAGTAGCAGGAAACTACACAGAAGAACGGTTCAAACTCTTTATTAACTCTTTAAAATTTGCACTGCGTCAACTCAACGCTAACAAACTTCGCATCTACTTGGGCGGTAACTGAAAAGCGGGTAATTGAAAATCAAAAGTTGAAATGTTTAACAAGTGCTAAACTAACCTATAGGGCTCAGTGAGATACCGAATTTCGTCCCCCTTCTAAAAGTAGTGGCAGCAGATAAATGCATTTAAGCCACTTGAACTAGCAATCAGCAATTGAACCTATGGCAGAGACGGCTGCTCAAGCCCAACTCTCTAACTTCCCTTCTAAAGCCTCGATATTTGAACTTTCCTTCTCAAAGTAGAATTTGCATTCAAGTCACGCGCGCTACCAAATTTAACTATTACTGACAATTAGGGAAAGCTTATAGGAAAGTCTGAACTAAAATTTAAATTATTAGTTAAAATAAATATAAATCCCTACAACATAAAACACTTTTCTTCATGTGAGTGTGAGACACTTTCCTGTGGAAAGTTCCCCACGACGGTGTCCCCACGCAGAAGCAACAAAAATCGCTTATTGGTTATTCAGTGTCAAAAAGAAATTAGGAAAAGTAAGTTTCAAATTATTTTCCATCCATCGTCAGAGTTAATTATTTCTGTTTTTCTAAGCACATTGTAAGAGACATTAGGTATATTTTGGAAGCAGGCAAGATGAAAAATTAGCAAACGCCTTCGCCGGGAATCGAACTGCGGGCCTCTGGAATACCGGCCCAGCGTGCAGAACCACTACACCACGAAGCCACGCTAGGAAGGTGGAAGAAATACCTTATATACTCCCCCTTTTAAAGAGCGACTGGGGTTTTTCTAGGGAACACAATCGCCAAATCCTGGGTGGAGAGAAATCATCATCCACCACCCTTTTAGTTCGGGCGCCACTATAGAGACATTAGGCATTTTTTGGAAGCAGGTAAAATGAAAAATTAGCAATCGTCTTCGCCTGGAATCGAACCGCGTACCTCTGGAATACCGGCCCAGCGTGCAGAACCACTACACCACGAAGGCACGTTAGCAAAGTGGGAGAAATACCTTATAACATAATTAAAATTGTGCAACTGCATTGGCCTATAAAAGAGGATTCTTTGAAAAAACTATGAAAATATCAAACAATTGTTTTCATATTTTAGCTCTATAACATATCTAGAGATATCTAAAAGAACGAGTTGCTTTATATTAATTTAAACAGACAACTGGAACCTTTAATTAAAGATAAGGAAATTTAAAGAAGTTTTTTAAAGAAGGAAAATTTAAAGCAACTTAAAGAAGTTCTTTAAATATTAAATTTAAGAATTATTACGTTAAATACAGATTTTTTCGTAAATACATAAAACGTTTTAAAAATTCATGGCAAGTAAGCTACGCAGACGATACTAAATTTTACTAGAAAAAGAAAAAATCTGTTAAAGAAAAAAAAAGTTTATCTCTGCTGAAACAGAGATAAACTCATTAAGTGTTTTCTCTATATTTCTCAAACATTCAATTAACGTAATGGCAAGCTAGCTGATGCTACAATTGAATAACATAGCGATAATCATCTCTTTCAACGGGATTGTTCTCTGGCTTACTAGCGCGGGTATTACTATGAAGATCATTTGCGAGATTGCATCAATCAGAATTTGCCATAATGTATGTGAATATATCTCAAACAAGATTTTCCATAATGACAGAGGCATTTATAAAACGGATATTTTCAAATATCTCTATCTTTAGGAACATTTTTTAAAATATCCCCTTCATAAAATTCTCCGTCTCTGGCAATAAAAATTTGCAGTAGAGGCATTTAACATGTTAACAATATTATAATAACCTATTTTAAACAAAAACAAGAAAAAGCAGAAAGTATAATAAATGGTAATAAAATATAGATAAAATAAGATCTTAAAAAAATTAAAGATGTGAGAGATAAAAAAAGACAAAATTTATGTTATTTTCTTGAAATTTTATGCTTTTTCCCCCTAGCAACCAACAACTTTTAGGGTACTAAGAGAAGTACTAGAAAAATGTTTATCGGGACAGGGATATAATATATATGTGTGTGTGTTGTGTGTTATTATTATTATTTCGATCTGGATTAAATCTTTGTCCTGTATAAATTCGAACATATGTATAAATATGGCTAAAGATTTATTTGAATAAGTCTATGCCATGAGAGAGCTTGACTGAATCAGTCTTTTAATCATTCTTTTGTAATTATTAACTTTATACCTTAATTTATTTTAATGTTTTTTGAGAAAAGATTTTTTTATTTTATTTAATTGCTTAATTGTAAGAATATTACCATACATCAAATATTAATTCATTTTTAGCCTAAAAGGTCTATTAGTCTAGCAATTCGATTTTCGTTATTCCACTTAAATGCATTGCTTCATTTTTCATTCGAGATTATTGTCATTTGGAAAGGTATAAGATCTTTCAAACATAATCATTCTGTGATTGATTAACAAACTAAGCTATTTAAAAGCAATAGGTGCAGTTCTGAAAAATATTATTTTTCTGCTTTTTAATCCAATTGATTAAATAAAAATTCATTTAACTCATGAATACACTGACGGGAAAAAAAATTCCCAACACCAAGGAAAAATTATTGTAGATTGATGAATGCATTTGTGTAGTTAACATGTTTAATTACCATTTTCAATGGTTTCTTAATACACTAGACAGGATACGTAGGACGAAGAGACGAAACTTAATATTAGTCACTCCTGCCGTCAGATTTAATCCAAGGTGATTTTTTTCTTATCGACGTTATCAAGGATACATTTCTTTGATCCATTTAATCTCCAAAATCTTGTCATATTGTGATTCTTGTATACCGTGACGTACTGATGGGCCACGTGAGACGAAACAAATTATGTCATGGATAGTATATCATCAAAGTTGAAATAACTGAGCTTTTGAGAAATAGGAAAAATTAGTCTTGATAAGTTTGAATGTATTCAATATAATAAAATTTGATACCAGTTGCGTAGTTTATTTATAATTTATTTTTAAAATATTCCGCATAATTATGAATAAACCTATGCATATGCTTATTTGAATATCTACATTTTTCAATGAATATTCATTTTAGCTGATGGTTGACAACGTTAAAGTTCCAATGGAAAAGTTGCCAATGTATTCGGAAGGAATGGTCATCTTAGGATACCCAGGAAGAACTTTTGTTGTTGTCATACCACAAATTAACTTGGAAGCCAGATATTACGAAGAAAATTCTGGCTTCGCTGTCAAAATACCTTCTAGAACGTATTTTAACAAAACTGAGGGACTTTGCGGTAATTATTTCTATTGCTTTAATGAATTTATTAAGACGATATATTTAATAACACAAGATTGTTCTTATTCTTACATGAAATAGTTATTCTATAATATCAAATATATTATTAATGTTATCGAAGAATATTGCAGTTTTGATCAGTGAATGAATGTGCTCTGGGCTTTGAACAGTTATGGTGGTTATAGCTGCAGTTAGTGTGATTGTAATACCAACGCAAAGATAAAAACAAAATTCTATACATAAATTACAGTTTGTATTCGTGATAACTTTTTCCGAGATGTGAGATTAATTTTATATGTACGTAATAAATAACTATATACCAATATTATAATAACATATTTTAAACAAAAACAAAAAAAGGCAGAAAGTATAATAAATGGTAGAAAATCGTGAAATAAGATCTTAAAAAAATTAAAGATGTGAGAGATGAAAAAAGACAAATTTTATGTTATTTTCTTGAAATTTTATGCTTTTTTCCCCCTAGCAACCAACAACTTTTAGGGTACTAAGAAAAGTACTAGAAAAATGTTTATCGAGACAGGGATATATATATGTGTGTGTGTTGTGTGTTATTATTATTATTTCGATCTGGATTAAATCTTTGTCCTGTATAAATTCCAACATATGTATAAGTATGGCTAAAGATTTATTTGAATAAGTCTATGCCATGAGAGAGCTTGACTGAATCAGTCTTTTAATCGTTCTTTTGTAATTATTAACTTTATACCTTAATTTATTTTAATGTTTTTTGAGAAAAGTTTTTTTTTATTTTATTTAATTGCTTAATTGTAAGAATATTACCATACATCAAATATTAATTCATTTTTAGCCTAAAAGGTCTATTAGTCTAGCAATTCGATTTTCGTTATTCCACTTAAATGCATTGTTTCATTTTTCATTCGAGATTATTGCCATTTGGAAAGATATAAGATCTTTCAAACATAATCATTCTGTGATTGATTAACAAACTAAGCTATTTAAAAGCAATAGGTGCAGTTCTGAAAAATATTATTTTTCTGCTTTTTAATCCAATTGATTAAATAAAAATTCATTTAACTCATGAATACACTGACGAAAAAAAAAAATTCCCAACACCAAGGAAAAATTATTTTAGATTGATGAATGCATTTGTGTAGTTAACATGTTTAATTGATTAAATTTTCAAGATCACAGGTTAATTTGAGCTCAAGAAAATGCATTTAAAATGTGAAATACTGTTACATTAATAGCCGGTGTAACCTCCAGAATTTGGAATGCAAGCCTGACAAATGTGCATGCATTGTGTCATACAGATGCTGAATGTCACTTTGTGGTATGGAGTTCCATGCTTGTTGTACTTGTTCTGTCAATACAGGGACGGTCAGTGCTGTCTGTGGATGATGCTGTAGTTTTCATCCAATGATAAGCCATACGCGCTCAACTGGAGACAGATCTGGTGATCTCGTAGGCCAAGGTAACATGTCAACACTCTGTAGAGCACGTTGCATTACGACAGCGGTATGAGGTTGGTAAACTCTCTCTTTAATGCTGTTCATTTATGGCAGCACTATAGGTTGAATTACCAGACTGGCGTACAAATTTTCAGTCAGTGTGTTTGAGATAACCACGAGAGTACTCCTGCTGTCATAAGAAATTGTTCCGCAGACCATGACTTCAGGTGTCTCCAGGTCCAGTGTGTCTTAGGCAGTTTGGTTCCAGGCGTTGCCCTGGCCTCCTTTTGACCAACACGGGCACCAAGGCAGAGCCTGCTTTCATCAGAAAATACAGCAGATCTCCACTTCGTCCTCCAATGAGCTCTGGTTTGACACTGGAGTCGCAAACGGCAATGGCTTGGAATCAGTGGAATGCATGCTACAGGGAGCCTGGGCTCGGAGCTGTCCTTGAAGTAACCGATTTGTAGCAGTTCGTTGTGTCACCGTGGTACCAACTGCAGCCTACGCCGAATGCGGCGGTCTTCCCTCGCAGTACTTCCACGTAGCCACCTGGAACTCGGTCTTCTTGAAGCAGTACCTTCATTTGACCACTGCTTCTTACAATCATGCACACAGGACACATTCCGACCAAGTCTTTCTGCAGTATCGCGGAAAGAAAATCCACCTTCTCGTAGCCCTATTACACGAACTCGTTCAAACTTGGTGAGCTGTAGATAATGGCTTCTTCGTCTTCTTAAAGGCATTCTTGGTTAACATCAACTGAATACGTCAAATTTCAAAGAAGAATACCACTCACGAACTTTACAGCAAGCATTTAAAGCAAACCTGAATTGCAAATTCTGAGTGGCGCTACTAGCACCACACTTACGCGCGAAATTTGAATCGATGTCATCTTTCAGTTATATAAACATAGGCCTATCAAATTTTGTTTATCTAATACAAGTCTTTCCTGGTGTTGGGAATTTTTTCCGTCAGTGTATATTTAAATATATTCCAAGGGGTTATTAGTCTCGAAACACGATTTTGCGTTATTTCTCTTTGATGCATTGTTTCGCTTTTCATTCAAGTCTGTTGTCATTCGGAAAAACAAAAAATATTATTCTTTTGAATTTAATTTATCTTTTATTAATTAACCACCTAAACAATTTTAATGCAAGAGATGTAGCTCTTAAGAATATGATTCTTCTTCTTTTTAATCTGTATGATTTGAATTAAAATGTATTTAATTCATGATATTATATCTAATTAAGAATATTAAATATTTTTAATAGAATTACTTTGCATAGCTTTTCACTTTTTAAATAAGTAAAAGGTTCATAACATTCGCATGTTAGCCGAAAAGCATATTAATCTAATATCCAGTAAAATAATTTGCTATTCCACCTGGGCCATATTTATCGATAATCCCTGCTGATAAACCATAATAAACTTAAAGGACTTTTGGTAATCTTTAAAATCCGAACTTTTTAGACTTTTTTTTAAATATGTATTATTTCATTGTTTCATGAAAATATTACAAAATTTTTAAAAATTTTTAATATATATATATATATATATATGCTATTTTATTTTTTTTTACTGCCCAGTAGAACTTCGGTTGTTCATATTAACTATCTTGCCAATTGCGAGGGGATCAAGAAATTGGAAATTTTCTAGTACCATTACCTGATATGGATATTTTAATTAAAAAATTAGCTGTTAATCGTAATTATAAAGCTCGTGCGGCAAAAAAGAATAAACTCATAAGAACAAATAATTTCGTGACTCTGTAAAAAATCGAAAATGAAACTAATTGTAGCCGCATTAAACTCGACATCTGAAACCCGTTGACATTACCTCAGTTCAAATTCATAATTACTCGATCTAATTCTTTACTCCATTGTATAAAAGCAAGGAATTTTTATGCCCCGTCACTCCAACAATTTCATAAAATGTTACAAAGATGTCGGCAACTATTCTTTAGTATTAAGACCTTCACGTGAGTATCCTAGCAACCTTCAAGAGGGTTGCTTTTCCCACGGCGCTGAGTTTCACAAGGGTGCCGGCACTTTTATGCCTTTATACCATGGTGATCGGTGGAAAATTACATGAATTTATATGCAGGTTGGCCACTCAGGTTAGACCAACTCTATTTTCCGCGCATCTAAATATTCAAAAAATCAGAATACTTGTGTCTTCTTTCTTCTTTAGAACGTATTTATCATTATGCAATTTAAGGATTTTATCTTTTTTTAATAGTTCATTTTTCGATGAGAATTTTTCGGTTAGAAAAGATTAAATTTTATGCTAAAAATGCCATTTCATCTTCTAGAATGAAAAAAATATCTACAGAAATCGCAAAGTAAATAACTGAAGTCATATTAACATAATAGGAAGCAAAATGTCTTACTAAAAAAGAAAGCTGAAGTCGCTACGTTGAAGACGCTACGAAGCTGAAGTCGCTACGTTTATTTAATCTCTTGTTTCTAATATTTATAAGTTGCATATTTAATGAGTGCTGTAGACCAATCTATATATCCCTCCCATTCTTCGAAATTAGTTTAACAGCTTCATATGAATTATTACATTGTGGTGCATTTTGTGGCATTTAATGGAACAGAAAATAGGAAATATATAAATGATTAACAGCAAGCTTAACTCTTATTTAAGCTAGAAAAGAAGCATTTGAATACTTCGAGGTTTACTGAAATTGCATTTTTGAAACGAAAATATTTATTCGTTTGCAGTAATTTAGAAATTAAATTCTTAAAGACAACAAGTAGTAATCGTTTTCTAAGAGTTCATACTGTAGACATTTGTTATTTTCTATGTTTTGTTCGGTTGTTGATTTAAGTTAACTTGTCCCTTTTATATCATTAAGATTCTTGCTGTGCCTTTCAAAGTATTTGTTAAAGGTTTTCTTTTTCAGTATTTTGTATGTGTATTACTAACTACTTGTTATAATTAAAATAATTGTAAATTTGCAAAGAAATAAAATCTGCTGCTAATCAGGCATTAATTAATCAAATTAATACAGACTTACCAACATTCGTAACAGGATACTAGTTATGAATATATGGCATAAATTATACAATTTTTTATTTCAGAATTTATGAAACTAGTTCTATAAAGATATTACATTAAACGCTAATATATTAATATAATACCCTTAATCCACTTGTACTTAAATGTTTTATGATGTACTTGATGTTTACATTTGAAGCCAAACATAAGCAAATTTTGTCAAGAATTTGAAAAGGATATCAGTTTTTAAATTTTTCACATTGGTTTCTTTCTTCGTTAGGTAATTGTAACGGACAAAAGGATGATGAGCTGAAGGAGAAACCGCTTAGTGAATTTGTATGCGACTTCCAGACAGAAGGAGATAAGGAAGAATGCAAGAAATCACTTATAGAACTGGTGAGTGAAAACATATAAAAATACTATGAGGTTTCTTGTGAATACCTTAGTAATAACGAAAACAAAAAAACAATTATAGTAAAGGATCAAATTTTAGACATTTTATGCAGCAATAAAACATAGTAGTAACTTTTATTTAAATACTGTCAGAAATTACTACTGTAAATACTTTTATTCCTTTACAAAAAACTAGAAGATATTTCCTCTCTCTTTACCGCATACCTGCGTGGTGTAACTGGGTAGCACGTCCAGCTAGAAATGGGGAGATCCGGTGTTCGAATCCTGGCAAGGTCACTGCACATTTTTTGCTTCTCCTCCATCGATAAAAACCTAGTCACCCTACAACATAAATAGCCCCAATAAACATTAAAGATGCATGTCAACTGAAATTTTAATTGATAAAATTCGAGATGAGTTTAGTTTTATCTTAATTATTTCAGATCAATAAAATCTGATGTGTACACCACATGACTTCTTTGTTGTACGGAATATTAAATTATGCGCATTTTTCTTGCATTTCATTTAAACTTATTGGGTTGAATTATATCTACTTCGTCGATAGCGCGTAAACCACAAGAGAATAAATGCACTCTTTAAAATTCATTATATTTGTTTACCATAGCGACACTCTGCGGTTCACTTAACAGCGTTATATTTCGTTCATGTTATAACTTAGAATGCACAAAATTTATATCATTTGAAGAATTATCTTATCGTTGCCACATGTTCTATTCAAATACTGTAATAAATCTACAACGATGTATAAAAGAAATTAAGCAAAAAAAAAAAAAAAACAGAAAGAAACAGATTTTCGCAGACGATTCAGTATTTCTTATTCAATTAATTCAGTTTTCACTTTGCGACAAGGCAAAAATATATAAAAACTCAAAATATCTGTATTGAAAATTATGAAATAAATATTAAACTCTTATTTCCTCGAATAAATTCCATAATGGATTAAGCATGATTTAATTCACAATAATAAAAGAAGGCGTTATCTTTGTTCTTGAGAAGCTAACTTTCTTTAGATTGGCAACAAATCTACTATTCTGCTCTTTCAAATGAAAACAAACATGGCCGCCATATGCAAAAAGAACTAGGTTTAGTGGACACTTAAAGCAACTTTTAAATTGTTAATAATTCTAAAAATATTGCATGCAGATTTACAAAAGGCATAAAAACTTTAACCGGAAGATAAGAACAACATAATTCAATCATTTTTAAAGCAAAAAGTGCACAATTTACAACCATATAAGAATAAAGAAACTGAGATTACTGGGCCGAGTAACAGAGTGGATATATTTATAAACGTTTTGGTGCGGCAGATTGCAATTAAAATACGAGGTGCACATGTTATAGCAATCCTATGTACAAAATTTCAACGTTCTGAGGCTACTTGGTTTTGAGTTATGCGAGATATGTACATACGCACGTACGCACAGACGCCACGAAAATTTCTCTTCAGAATTCATTTTAAATCAGTTTTATAAATTTTGGGGGGAAGGGAAAGTGTCCTTTATTCTGTCCTTACGTACGGATGTCACGCAAAAATATCATTAAATTGCAGCATTCGATAGCTTTCAAAATGGATATTTTCGTTGAAATATGATGCCTGAAGTTTTTCGAGATTGCAATACTTTCTTTTTACTTCGTACAAGGAAATAATAAAAAGAATGCATTTCGAGATATAAACGAGCAGTCTCTCTTTTTAGAAATAAATAGTTCTCCATAAACGTATTGAAGAAGTTTTCCATAAGCATGTTGTTTCACTTGCAACGTATATCCGAAAATAGCTGAATTATGTGTTAAAAAATGTTGGAAATAGAAAAACGTTGCTCTGAGCATGAAGAAGCTTTGGAGAATAGCATTCATGACACATAAAGATTTTAGGTTCATTTTTCTCAAAAACTGTCGAGTGATGAAAGTTTCTTCAAAAATCTGGTGAACAGCCTTCCAACGATTTCTATTACTAGCCTGTTGCATTTTCTCAATGTTTCCCTCATTTCTGTTTGTTAATCGATAACTAAGTCATTATAGTCTTCATCTGGTATTTCGCCATATTTGAATCTAGAAAAACCATTCGTCAAGTATAACGTAATTTACTCAAAGTGCAATTTTTTAAAGATTTGCAAAAACTTAACAACTGTCTCAACTGTAGTTTTCTTCAACTAAATAGTAAAATTTCACGCATTAAAGTTTATTTCTTCTTTATGTTTGTACATCACAAAAATAGCAGGATGTTGCGAGCTGGAATTTCCACAAAACGAAGCCGAAGACGTATTGTTCTACTCCGAACGGCGCCGTTTTGCGAGACATTTTAAACTGATAAGGCCTAGCGACACGATCTGTTCCTAACCTAGTACCCTGATTCCTAACCTAGTACCCATTTTTTTAGACTTTTTGAGAACTTCTAGAAAACATTTAGGAACATTTAAAACCAAGTTAGTCACTTTTGTCTGTAACTTAATGATTTAAAGTTTTGTTCAGGTGGTTTAGTGAATATTAAAGTTGCTATTTTATGTCCATCAGTAGCCGTGTACTCGACTAGATTTCAAATTTAGCCAACAGCCAAACTGTAGGAACCTTTATTATTTTTCTCATGTGTGACATTAGTATAAGCTAGAAAAGCATTCATTAAATCATCTCTCTTTTGTCAAATTAAATCAATCAATTAACTAATCAACATTATTTTATCCTTTTTTGCAGCCAGATCATAAAGAAATGGTTCCCATTTGCAACAAGCTTAATGATCCCATTTTCGAGGCCTGTCATCCTCTGATAGACTTGGATGTGTTTATCGATGCCTGCAGTTTTGATTCTACACATAGTGGAGATTCAAAAGCCTCCTTGTGCAAAACAGCAATGGAATATGGAAGGCAATGCTGTCAAGCAGGCACAGTTATTGAAGGATGGCCAGAAAAATTAGGATGCGGTATGGTTACATGAAAATTTCTTTCTGTTTTCTCTCCTAAAATAAAGAGATTACTACATTACACGGTTAATCAAATAAAATTAATTATAAGTATATTATTTTTCATTATAACACTCATTATCATCGTTTGACAAAACTGAAGCAAATAATACAGTCCAATAGGATTTTACAAAATGCGAGTATTACATGAAGATTACTAGCTAAATAAAATACGGTATTATTAACGTATTTATCTAGCTAAATAAAAATACGGTATTATTATTTAGCTAGAAGATCTTCCTACTGCATCAGTATTTTATATACAGCATTCTGATCGCTAGTTTTGATGTAAAAGGCGCTTAGAAAAAAAACATCCTTTGCTCCTATCTCTATATCTTCATTACAATAATACTTATCTAATTTGCGCAAACTGTTCCATGTATATATATTTTTCTAATATTAAAATTCAAATATTCTCAGATATCCAATGTCCTGAAGGCCTTCAATTCGAGCAGTGCCATCGGGGGTGTCCCCAGACATGTGTTACTGTGAAGAATGTGTCCTCTGAATCCTCCTGTAGTCATCTCAAAGCCGACGGATGCTTCTGTCCAGAAGGCGAGGTTCTGAAAGATGGCGTCTGTGTGGCTGTTGCCTTATGTGGTAAGATTTCAGTAATTTTCCAATTTATTATCTTATTAAAACTGGCAAATCTTTTCAATTATTACTAAATTATTACTAATTTTTGTTTCCTTCCTCAGATACATGTGACAAAGAAGGGCATGTGGTAAGCAGTTTTGTGTCCTTTTATCATCGGATATTTTGCTCATTAACTTCAAATATCTGTTACTTCCGTTTCGAAGCGTTTAAAATAAATCTTGTAAACTAAAAAAGCTCTATCGAATTTAAGTTACAATTTTTTAAATTACATAGCAATTTATTACGTCTTTGCATCGGTAGCGAAAATCAGCTTTTAGAAAAATGTGTTAATTAGGCAAGGTTCTACGACAAGTTAAGGCATGTGCTTCTTATGACACAACAACTTTTATGTCACAAGAAGTACACTCCGAAAAACTAAATGTTAAAGCAACGAAGAACAGTAACAGGAATCCGTATAACATGACTAAATTTGTAAGATTATAGTTTTGAAGATTTAATTGAGGAAGCTGAGGAAGAAGATTCAGTTTAGCCTTTGAAACTATAGTCCTGCAAAACTCGGGTTACGCCACAGATTTCTGTCATCTATTATTAGTTATTGTAATATATTTTATAGATTCATAAAAATAGTGATGTTAATTGTTTTAAATATTTATGTTTTCAGAAACTTCTAAAACTCTAAATTTTAGAAACTATCCTAGCAATCCAATTTTTCAGCTGACAGAAAATTGCTTCAAAGTTTCTAGCTTCTTAAGCGGATTCTAAATTTATTTAGAGAATATTGACATACTTTCAATTAACTAACTATTTATATCATAAAAATTGGCAGGATGTTTAAAAAATGAGTATGTTTCTTGTTCTCTTAAATATCGGTTCTAGACACGAATTTCCAATTGCAAAACTTCTCATAAGGTACTGAACTTGACAATAGTTCAACCTGGGATAGAACGGTATTGTAAATACAAAATTTAACTTGCCATATGATCATCCTAAAACTGAAGTTAAATCTTAATATGAAGTTAATTAGTCTAAATAATTCATTACCCGCAAATAAGTTAAACAAAAAATAGTTCCGTATAATTTGTCATGTAAAATTCAATGAGATGTAAGTAATCAGTATTTTCTTGTGGCCAGCTACGAAGTCAGTAACTAATGACGCTTATTCAATACGAAACTTCTAACAGTCAAAGCGATTACTTTTGTTTCATTTCAATTCCCTAACTTAATCCTACATTTTCCCTTATTTCTTAGGGAAAATGTAGGATTAAGTTAGGGAATATTTTGTTTGATCAAAAATAGGTAATAAAAAGTAATCTGAATCAGCAAACGTTTTTTAATATATTCGTGAACTTTGCACCTAAAAGTCTGAAAATTTTGCATTTAGCTTGCGAAAGTATAATATATATTCTACTGATTGAGGTTTAACTGTACAGAAAATTATTAAACGTTACATTTTATATTTTCAAAACCGTTCTACCGCAAGTGCCAAACTTTCTCGTAAAAACTCTTTACCCATTTTTCAAGAAACATCATACTTAAAAATATTTATCTAAATACGTATTTAAGGAAATGAAACGTCCATCTGCAATTTTTTCGAACACTCTATATAAAGCTTGGAAAAGATTCTATGTAAAGCCATAGAAAAGACCATTTCTTCTTCATCTGGATCCAGATGAAGAAGAAATGGTCTTTTCCATAGCAAGTGCTTTGTTTGTCAAATCACCAAAATATAAACATTTCTTTTTACTTATCCTATACAACTCGTGAAAATTCACAGACACTTATTAAAAATCAAAAGTGAAGAAACGGGATATATCTATTGTTAGTTATGAATTTGTTAGCAGCAATGGAATCGTGGTTTAGCCTATCTCTGATCAAAAGCCTGTCTTGGAACACCAGACTCGATAATCTGTAGTTCTTTTCTCTATCAGTGACATAGAAATAAATTTTCGAGCAGAGAGATGTCATGTGCTCATGTTTTTTCCATATAGGCATGGTAGCTGTAAGCATTTTTGTGTTACTTCGTCTGCCAATGGTTCTCAGCCGTTTTCGCCGTATGCACACCTTTCACCGTTGTTCACCACGATCACCCCCTTTTTCCAAAACTCGAAAAATTCCTACACCTTTGTTTAAATTTAGATTTTTTTAATGTGTTTAATGAATTAAACAATAAGTAAGCATAGAAAATATTGATAAACACCACAAATTGAATAAAAATAGTTTTTTACATTCATAAACTAAAACTAAGTACTTAACTCGTAATTAAAATACCGACTGCATTCCCTCCTCAAATAGTGAAATTCACCCCCTGGGGGGATTCCGCCTTTGTTAAGAATCCTTATCATATACGAATTCATGATAATCATCTACGCTAACCTCCATTCGCTTTCGTATTCTGTTTTAACCTGCACTCAGATATTACATCTGATACTCAGATGCATCATTTCAAAAAGCTATCTCACGTAAGCACAAAGCTTGGTGGTTTATGTGGAGTTGTTTAAAAGGTATTTAGAAATACAATTAATCATTTGAAATAGCTTGTGTGTTAGTGCAACATGAACTGATATAGCTTTGAAATATAAGCAACAAAAAGAAACGTTATGTTTTAAGAAAAATAAAATCCTTGAACTAATAAGTTATCATTCGTCAAGAGCAAATATCAGTGGCTTTTATGAAAAGGCTTATTCAGTATCTTGTCTTGTATATTTTGTATATTTCTACATATCAGTGAATTGAGAAACTAAAATTTTGTTGAAATTCTTGCTTAGACGTCATCGGTCAAGAACGTTAGAATATAAAATATGAAGTTATTGATTTCAGTGGTTTCCAGCGCAAATTAAAGTTAACATTTCAACGAATGTTTTTGTCAAATGCATTTTTGTTTTTCTTTGGGTGTGTGTTTCTTATTCTGCAGGTATGTGGCTCCATCTTTGGCTCTAATCTTAATTATACTTAGAGCATCGTTCTTATATTTTCAGCAATATTACTCTTATTATCTTTCTGACAACTGCTCTATTACTCTGTATATTACAGCCTGGCGATTCTTGGAATGATGGTGTCTGTAAGAAATGTCATTGCCGAGCTGATTTGACCACAGAATGTGATATTGAAGTTTGTCCAGCAAAGCCTATCTGCTCCTTGGGTGAAAGTTTAGCGAAAGTGAATGATAAGGAACTGGAATCATCTTGTTGTGAAACTTATGTTTGTGGTAAGTAAGTTACACTGCATATGAAAAGAGTGACTAGTTTGTTTGTTGCTGAGATTGATTTTGTACTTAAAACAATTAGCTACCTGTGAATAGCTACTTGTAAAATTTAATACATACTAGTCTAGTCACCTGTTATCACAAAGTAGGATTTCTTAAACATGGATAAAGAAATATTTAAGCAATAAATATAAAAGTGGTTTTATTTAATAGGTCTCAGGGTTTGCTATCCTGTTAGCCCAAATGCCGCTCTAAACAGTTATGTCATTTTAAATGAATATCAGATTTCTTTACGTATTCCTTCCCCCCTCCTTTTTTTTCTAATTTTATCATCCGAGAGAATCAAGAAATTCCAGAAGGGAATATTATACGGTGTGTGGTGTGGTGTATTTAATTATGGCAAAGCACACTAGGGCTATCTGCCTAAGGGGAGGGATGCCTTCGTGGAGGACTTTCTAAGGGAAACTGGCTCGTATACACGTTACACATGGGGAAAACCACGAAAACACCCATGCAGCCAGCCCGTTCGCGGGATTCGAACCTCGGACCGAACTACCAGTGTTCAGCGACTTTACCGCTCGGCCGCTGGTGGGCAGAATATTATACGAATAATTAATTTTCGGAGGTCGCGGTTATGATAAGAATATAACAAGCGTCAGTCATAGATAAACTACAGGTAACTATCAATATTATTTCTTTAAAAAGAAGCTGCATTTCAATGAGAATGCATAGTAACATTAAAATTACGATATCTAATTAAGATATCTTTATTCCCCCTACTTCCCTGTAGCTTGAACTCCCCCATTCTTATTGTTGTCTCTGCTGCTTTGTGGGCCAATTCATCCATAAATAAGTTTAAAAAAGTGAATGTTCAGCTGATTTAACGAAATCGTAGACTAAATGTCGATTCATGTTGGCTCTCGTATTAGACAGGCATAAAGTTCAACAGTTAGGAGTGAAAGGGTTTGGTATACACCTCGCAAGTAGTTTGCTAGGATTTGTCTTTCTTAGTAAGAAGAAAACAGTCATTACGTGCACGAATCCTAATTTAAAATTCAGTTGATCTTCTTTTATAAACTCAGTGAGAAAGGGGGAACTTACGTGAATATTTTTTTCTATTCAGAACCTGAAGTTATAAAGCTAAGGGAGAAACTACGCTAGGAGAAAAAATACATGAGAAAAATACAGTATATGAAAAATACTCTAACTGACAGTTAAAAGGTAATGTACAACTATGAACAAAACTTACTTTACTGAAGGAAGTTATTAAAAGGAGTTTTAATAGCATTTTATGTAGTATAAAAAATAAAAAAAATAAAAAAAACTAAATATGTGTGGAGTCCTACGGCACTAAAATGTAGATATAAAAGTGAATATAATAAATGAATTGCTGTTGTAATATTAATTTGTAAAAATGTTATATAATAAAAACGACTGTCTAAAAATTACTTCATAATTAGCCTGTTAGTCACGCCCACTACATGATATACGTACTGCAATAAAGATCTAATTATCAACAATAGGTGGAATGAATCTGTAATTTGCAAACACCGAAAACATACCTAGCTTTAAAATGCTATTTATAATTCAGACATTTTTTTACTAATTTAAAATGTTAAAAAGATCTAGAGATCAGAATTTGTTTTTTTTTTAACTTTTTACAGTTTAAAAGCTTATTGAGAAATATAGATCAGGTTTACAATGTAATATATCTTTTAATATTTTTTAGTATTCATTCAAAAATTGCAAAAGAACAGTAATTTCTCCATTCTTGCTTCCTCGATTAAGTCATCCCGAATGTGTAGCACCTGATCTATAAAACAAAGGGTTCTTTCTTATGCAGTCTAAGTAAAACAAAGGTGAAAGAAGTTTTGAAGGACATATGTATCTTACATCCAGTCATAATCCTGTAGGAATTCAAATTAACTGTAAAAATTGAAAAATGCTTTGCATAATATGCATCTTTTTTTATCCCTTGACAGAGATTTCAAATAATGTTAATGCTATAGAAGCTTATTCAGTTTATTTTTTAATAAAAAAAAAAGTTTAATTCTACATGTAAAGCTTTTGAATGAATTCCGATGACCATAAATTCACATTAAAATGAACTACTAAAATTTTTGAACAAGAATGTCCTTGGTGAATTTAGGGAATAGGATTCTAAACCTGCTAAAAACGACTGCTAATTTCAAAAATAAACGAAGATTTAAAGATCATAAAAGGTCCATGAAGATATTGAATCAGATAATCAAATGAACAGGGAACAGCTACAGAAAGAAATCTGACTAGCCAGCACATGACCTCCCCCAAACTCCATGTTATGACATGGAATGGGCGGAATAGCAACGAGCTGTAAGGAAACTATTCCTTCCGGTTGATCGTTTAATAAATAAAATCTAATTTATTATTAATTTAAGCGCTACTCTTTTTACTCTTTTTTATTATTCTGTTCTTCCATACAATGGTTCTCCCACACAATGATAGCTACACGTCCTACACATCATTTCTCATTCTTTGATCTGAAAATATCGCATCCATCGTAATATATCTTCTGGTCACATAGGATGTTTGATTCACAAATCAATGACTTAACAATCACAGAATTTTCAAAGCGGCATATGTTCAGATCTCGCAAAAGTGTGTTAAGTTTTTCATGCCTTTATTTTTGTAACTGCTATATTATTTATATTTGCTATATTATTTCTTTAAAAACAAAATATAACTAAAAGATTTGATAGCAATATCATTTTACTTGAAAAGTGATTCGACACTAAAGTGAAATGAACACTCAGTTGAGGATTCGGGCTAGTATTTAATTGCTTCGTAACGAGAGCTCGTCTTCGTTATGAGCTTGGTCTCGTTGCATTTCAGATACTTCCAAAAATATATTTAACGCTTGTAAATGTAATAAGTTGAGAACAGAAAGCTTTCTAACCTCCATCAAATTCTTCTCTTGGTGAGCCTCCATATTCAATAATTGCGCACATTAGCGTATTAGCTTCTGTCTCTCTTCATCTAACGACGCAATTTCTCTGTGATGGCTTCTTGTCGCAACAGTATCAGAAATGTAAATGATCCTGAATAGGCAGGATAAGAATGCCAAAATAATTGCGGCCATAAATGTCAATTTAAATAACAACTGAATTTAATCCGCCTCGACTGTCGAGTTTCCTTTTCAATATGGATCTACGTTCTTAAGCTATCACTTTTTTTCATTATGTATGAGATTATCTTCTGTTATCGGGACCGGATTCAGAAATGTATTATATGCATGTATATAGGTACATACATATGTATGTGTATACACACACACATATACTCACATGCATCCATACACATGCACATACATACATGCATTCGGTGCCGATAACTGAAGAGTATCATATCTAAACATGTATACCCAGCCTCTTACCCGGCTTGGTGAGCTCTGTGTTTTTATTCTTACATGTTAACAAATTGTACATTCTTTGCTTTAAAAGTGATTGAATTGTGTTGTTCTTATGTCCCAGTTAAGATTTTTATACTTTCAGTTAATCTGCCTGTAATAGTGGTAGAATTATCAAGGCTTAACAAGGCCGCCATTTATTTACATTACAAACACTTAGTAGAATAGTGAATTCAATCAGTTGGTGCACCAACTTCAGTGTCTTTTTGCTTAGTGGGACCAAAAGTTTAATTTTGTGCGCCGAAAATTTTGACTTCCTGCCCGTTTACCGAATTGCTTGCTTTTGCTTATACAGTCTAATTTTAATTGTAAAAATTGTTTTTTAATTGTTTTAACTGCATTTGCTGTTTCAGATTTTTCTATATTTTACAATTTTTAATGAAGATATTTTTATATAATTTTATCTTGCCTCAAAGTGATAACTGAACAGATTGAATGAGAAATACATCTGTAATGAAATTCGAGAAATTAAGTTTAAATGATATGCAGCAAAAAATATATATAATTTAATAGTCCGTATAAGGAAGTTCTGTGGTAACCCCACCAATCGCGTGTTATATTTATCGCGCTATTCCTATTTATAGCAATTTTCGTCTGAAACTATTGATTTCTACCCGAAATTAAAAATTTAAATACAAACATATATTAATTACAGTATAATTATACAAAAATTAATCTTACATATAAAAATTAATTTATCTGATAAATCAATTTTTATAATATATGAAAAAGCATGAAACATTTGTGTACTGCATGATCTAGTCATATTGCATAAAATTATTTTCCATTGAAAAACAGATTAGTTTGTCTGCAATGGAAATTGTCTTCATCTAAAAACAATTTGAAAAATTTATCATAGATAAGAGGGAATGTTATCTTTTATTTGATAATTTCGAATGCTAGTTTATTTAAATACTACTATTTTTTAAACATTAAATTTTTCTCACAATTCCTGAAGACATTTTAGTATAATATGTATAGCCATATTTCTTCAAACGTTTAATCAGCTCTCCCCAAAGAAAAAATATATTGTTTTTATTTCCGTTAGTTCCCAAAGAAAACGACTGTCCGCCTGTGGATGTTCCAAAGTGCCCAAAAGGGGAAGTAGCTAAGATAGACACCGGTAGTAGGCATTGTCCAGAATTCAAATGTGGTAAGTGCCTTATTAAATACCACCTCTCAATCACATATTCTGATTTTTAATGTATATATTTGACTTTCATAAAGTGTAATATCAAATCTTTTCAAATAAAAAAGATAAAATATAAAAATCTGTAGAATTAATTTAATCAAAAAGTCACTTTTTTTTTTTTTTTTTTTTTTTTTTTTTTCTTTTTGTACTTGTTCATCATAGCTAAATGACTATTATGCTCGTCGACTAAGACTTTTCCATTGATATAACTGCAAAAATATTTTATAGTTACATGAAAAATTATACGCTCATTTCAAATTTATTGAAATTATATACTTGTAATAAATATATTTTAAGCCTGAAATATCACTTATTGGCAATCAATAGTGTTTGACAGATAAACTAAACTTAGGACTTAAACAATTTTATTATAAATAGGCTGTAAAGTCGTTTTAAATATGTTCTTTAGTAATTGTTTGAAAATAAAAAAGCAAAATATATATTTTTTTTTAAATCAAAATTTGTCATTCTATTTCTGGAGTTAAAGCAACAGGAATTTTTCAATGATATAGTCTGTTTCGCTTGACATAGCTTTCTTATTTCTAAACATGTAATTGAAACTTTGAAGTGCGGTTCGACTGCAAATTTATACTTTTGTGTCGCTTACTTGAGTAGGCGCACTACACTATAAAAGTCGTCCAAACGTCTTTATTGAGACAGATATAATAAATGAAATGATGACGTCAATGATTTAGAAACATGGACCTTATAAGAGATAGACTAACCCAGTGGGCGGGGTGCGCGTCACCGACATGTCGGCAAGAAAGAGTAGGGACTATCTGGTTTACTTTAACACTGAAACCTATGGCGTTTGTATCACTTAACTCTTTTTAATTATTAAATGTGATAAGTTTTATAGTGATGAGATTATGAAAGCCACAGTTTTTTCCAAATAGGATTTAATATATCTCATTAAAGCACTTTTTACTGCATTTCGCGCATTTTTTCACGCGTATTTCTTGTACAAACATTTTTACTTTGGTAAAACGGGAAAACTCTAAGCATTTTAATTTTGCGTACAAATAACGTAAAATTAAATAAGCTTGATAGTACGTGATGCTTTGAAATAAATAAGGTAAAATTAAACAAGATCTGATAATTCTTTTAAAAATTTAATGACCATTTTCAAAATTATAATAACATTACCAAACAATCATTTATTTGATTATATCATCATTGACTTATTAACATTAAAGTGGAATATTTATTTTAGTAATTTATAAAATTCGGAGCATAAACTTTTTTGAGTGTAATGAAGGGAACAAAAAGTAAAATAAAATCTAGAAGCACTCAGATTTTATATTACGCCCAAAAGGAACCTTTATTAACGTTTTGTGTGTTGTCTATATTTATTGAATATCATGTTCTTCGCCCGTAAACCACATACATTTGAAAACAGCATATCTTTAGAATTTCCGGAGATAAAACTGGAGATAAAAACTGTTATTTTCCTTACAGTGCTCGCTACCTGAAACTCGTTGAGTTTGTTAATCAAAAATTCGTTAAAGTTTTACAAAATATGAAAATAGATAATAAAACAAATTAAAATTTCGAAATTCGGCCGTCCAGATGCCCATGTTCGGGTGGAGGATTACATTATTCAAAATTTGATGGCTCTAGATACTAGTGCGAGAAACATACATGTATTCATGCAGATTCTTCATTATTTAATTTCTTTAAATATAATACAGGGTGATAATATTTGGTAACAACAATTTGCAAGGAGACACGGACATTTATAGTAAAACAGCGCAAAATACTGCTTCGAAAATAACAGCCTTTCAAGGTACCGCCCCTTTGAGCTAATAAATTAAATTAACAGTAAATAAAAAAAAATCTTATGCAGAACTAAAAATAAATTTTAAAAAGTAATTACTATAAAATACAAGCAAAATTAATTATTACGGTTAAATACAATTTTAATATTAGAATTAAATGTATAAAAATTTTGAAGGCGTTAAAAGTGTTTATCACTATGATGTATTATGAAATATAGTTGAAATAAAATTCCTTTATAGAAATTGTGCTGTAATACTCATCTATAATTTTAAAAAGGCAGCACAATTTAGAATTTTAAACAAAACTTTCAAAAATTCGTTTATAAATATTTAGTATTTTTTACTTATTTACACCAATAAAAAGCATAAAAATTGCAAGAGAAAATTGCTTGTTTGAAATTTTCTATTAGCTCAGATTCAAAATATTATTTTCTAAAAGAAGTAGTTACAAATTTCCTTACAGCATAGGAAAAGCTAAAAAAATATCCAGCCCTGAAAGCATGCAATAGCTTTATAATTATTTGGAACGTTAATTATGCTTGATAAATATGCTAAATTTTTAAAAATCAATCTCAATTTCAAAAATAAAAATATGTAGAAATTCTAATTTGTGAAATGAAGTGCTACAACCAGCTTTTTCTTGACAATTATACACGCTGCCACTGTTAAATTTCTGCAAGTTGTCCCTGCTCCTCCGGATGTGATCAAGGTGGCAGCCGGGAACGCCTCAGACGAGGGAGAAAACCCATTTGGGTTAGTCTATTTCTTATAAGGTCCATGTTTAGAAATCTCTTTCAGTCCGCCTGTCCAAAAGTCCAGCTATGGTATCTTCTTGAGACTAGATTGGAGAGTTTCATAACAGTATAGTCAGTATTATTTCTTTTTTATTTCTTTTGAAAAATCTCCGATTGATTGGGTCTTAGACTACCGAAAAAAACTAGCGTATTCATAGTTACTTTCTACATACTCCTATCCCCCAATGTCTTGAATTAAATTCAGACAGCGTTGTTTTATTCATAAAGTTTAATTTCATTTTCTTCTACGAAGTGTTTTAAAAGCGCAAACTCATTTACAGTTATACATTTACAATTCCTTTTGATGCAGAGTATAATCCTTTTTTTAATAAATTTGTCATGAACTAGAGAATGTGTTGTATTCATTTTGAAGACTTTTATTCAGCTCCACTTTCTGTCAGAATAGAAGAATCAGAATACTTTGATCAGCAGTTTGATAAATTCTATGAAATCAAGACTTCTTTTTCCAATGGCGGACTCTAGCCGTTTATAGGCATTGGCGACTACTAAGGCCGGAAGCTGTGGTCACTTTATTATGGAGGCACCTAATAGTGGACCACCCTTGCCTCCTATGAAGGGATGGACAAATTACATCCATGACCTCTCCGAGATTCGAACCAGGGAGTTTCGGTACGTTAATCAGAACAAGGCAGATGTATCAAGACGTAAGGTTTGCTTTTTTGTCAGATGTGAGAAATATTTACTTACAGCAGCATAGCTAATTTTCTCGTCGTTTTTAAATTTTCACAAATTTGACTTTGAAATAAAATTTTTAATGATTAATCAACTGACAAGTAATATTAAGTTAAATGATGCATTTTTTAAAGATTCTTTTTAATCTTTTGTCAGTAAGTACCAGATAACTTTTAATTCAGTCAGTATCTTTTAAGTTTGATAAGTAGTGTAAATAAAAGTTGCATCAGTTGAATAGATAACCTCTTTGAGACTCCAGCACCCAATCTTCCATGAAATATGGACTGATAACAACAACAACAGTTAAACATATCTTTAAAAAAATAAACATTTAAATTATTAAGAAGTGTATTTATTACTTTTAAAATAATCAGTATGCTTCTGTAAATTATAATTGAAAGAAAAATTAAAAGTCTTATGTCACGTCAGATGAGAGCATTCTCAAAAATGGTTATTTTTCATACAGCCAGAGAGACAAAGATCTTCTGTCTTGGGCAATAGACACATTTTCTAGTTCACGTCAATTATGAATAGTTAGGAAGTGCAACGTACGTAGCATAATGTAATAGCCCGAAATATTTAGATAGAAATTTTATTACGAATGAAATAGTTTATTTATATAACGTAAGAAAAATCTCAACATTCATTTCTATTGTTTTAATCAGGCCTTTCATTCTATTAAAAGTGAACAAGTTGTAAATCTATTCTTAGGAATTATGTCAATCTGTCTTTTAAGAAGATATTTTTAAAAGAAAAAATAAGCAACTTTTTCATAATTATCATAAAAATGTTAATTCTTTAAGAAAATGTATCCACATGGACCTTTCTTTTCACCTAACTATGGGTTAACATGCAATCATATATTCTAAATTTCTGGAACTAGTAACCTTTTCTTTAAAATAACGGTCAAATAACAGTTGCCAAACTCTATAAAGGTCTGTTTAACGGTCTTCTTTCGTTTTGCTAAAATTTTAATTTTTATTCTTAAATAAGCTCCAAAAATACAATTAAATCTCTCACGGCTACTACCTTCCCGAGAAAACCACCTTCGAAAATGACAAATATTTCTTAGAAATTTAATAAATAGTAGTATTAGCCATCAAGCACAGTCCTGTTCTCTAAGGCAACCACTTCTGCAAAAGATTAAAGAGTTATGGAACTATTAGTGCTTGTCTTGGCCTTGGGGAAAGGGGAAAAAACTTTCTATTAACAGCAGGATAAATAAAAACAAATAAATATATTTTCACTTTCACGAAATAAAAAAAAAAATGCATATTTTACCGAAAGGGTCAAAGAACGGTGAGACCTATCATGACTGCCACCCCCCTAAAATGACCGCTTTTTAAAGTGATTGATATTTCTGAAAAAAAAATCAGTTGGCGATATTGGGTGTCATCGATAGTCATTGCTTTCTGCTACACCTCCACAAAAGCCCAAAATCGTTTGGACCCATGAGCAGCTGTCTTAGGAAAGTTTCATTGTATTTTCTTTCTTACGTAATAAAATAATAAAACTCCTGTTGTGTATAGTTTTTGTTTAAAAGCAAAAATATGGCACTGTTTGAAAAAATGCTGCTCATAAAAGCCCCAAAACGAAACTTTATAATTAATAATCTCCATTCTCCATTGAGTAAAAAGCATGTTCGCCTGCATGCCTATCAAGCATTTCTATCTCAAAACTTTATTTTAATGAACTG